ATTAAGTGTGGGGTAGGCTTCCTTTGAACAGTTTGAAACAAAAACAGCATATTCAAAATCTGACTCAGCAATTTCATCTCAGGCTGTACATGCTGCTTAAAATTATCTTGTGGTCACTTGTTATTATTGCATGGTCACGCAGTATTTATCTCATGGTCACACAATTTTTTTTAATTTAATGTCACCAGACAGGCACTGTACAAAACAGTTTTTGTGTAAATTTACCAACATTTTGCCTTGAAACAAATACTAACATCATATTAATCAGTCATTAAAAAAATTAAAAAACACTGTCAGTACCCAAGATGTTTCTAAAGAGGACGTATCATGCAAAATCCACATTTTTTGCCATTAAATACATTTTGTTGTGCAGTTGGAGTCTGTAGGAGTGCAGAAAAGTTGTATTTAGTCACTCATAGTTCTACAAAGATACTGTATCTTTACATTGTGTTTGGGTCATATTTTTCAACATGTTCAGTTGATGTTTTCTGAACTATTACATCACAGAATTTGCAACAGAACTGCCAAATAAGGTCTGAACTTACAAAAAACAATTTTATCGTCAAAACCAGTTGCTTTGAGACACACCTCAAAAAAAGGGATGAAAGAGGGGCTTGTGGAGTTACAATAAGGAGGAATTCAGACCAAAGCGTTGCAGTTCCACTTTATATAGATCCCAACTGAATGATTTCAATGTAAAAAGGAAGGATTTAAAAGCAGGATACGTCTCCTTTAATATGAGGAAATGCCCAGGACATACATTTGCAATGATTTCTATGACATTAATTTAATTTAAGACAATTTCAGTTACGCCAGATTATATTTTATTTGATCCTATATTTAATATTTGATCATACTTCTCCGTCAGACCATGCATGTTCTAATTGTCTCCCTAATCAGGATTACCTCTAGTCCTGGATTACCTCAGAGGGGTTTATGTTCTGAATGAGAGGGACTCGAAGATGCTGACAGTCATTCAGACATGATGTTCTGTGTCAGTAAGCCCGTTGTAATCAGAACAGCATGCTCATTACCTCATCCTCCACGTGTGGGACATTTTGATCCACATGTGACATACTGGTGTATAAGATCATTTGGAGCGATGAATAAAATGTCTCTTAGGAAGTCCTTTACAGTTTATTTCTGTTATAATATGACACAGACAGCGGAGGGCATATGTTTGCCAATAGATGATTCAGACCACTTGTTCAGACTCTCATAGTCCTCAGGGTGAAGTGCTGAATATCCTACAGCCTCCACTAACCTCCTCTTCTGGGCCCGATGGAGGAGGATCCTGTATGTTCCAGTCAAGGGGCTTTTACAGTCTAAACAGGGATTGTTCTGTAAATGGACTTTTGCGATGCCTAAAGCGGACATGAAGGTCTTCACTTCTTGCTCCTCCACACTGAGAGGCTGGTTGGCCTGAGCAAAGTGGGCCGGGGACGAAGGCAAAAAGGCATACGGTTGAGGGTACTCAATCCCCTTCAGCCACGCACTGTTTGTAATCTGTGAGATGGAGGAGCGGTCGACAGGCACAACCCGCAGCATGCCCTTGATGACCAGCTGACAGGGGTCAGGCACAAAAGCAGGGATGGTGTAAGCCCCCTGCAGGATGCAGCGCTTCAGCCTCCCCAGGTTCTCCCCAAAGAAGGGTAAAGTCGCCGTCACCATAAAGTACAAAAGAATTCCTAAAGCCCACATGTCCGAGTGCTGTCCCGTGTAACCTTTTTGTTTGAAAAGCTCAGGAGCAGCGTACGGTGGAGAGCCACAGAAACTTGTGAGCAGCTCGTTCGGGCCACAAGCCGTGCTGAAGCCGAAGTCTCCTACTTTGATGCAGTAACTGGTGGTGTAGAAGATGTTCTCTGCTTTAAGGTCTCTGTGGACGATGTTGCAGTCGTGCTGAAAAAAAATCACAATGATCACTTCAAGCAAAGAGTTTGACATAATTTCACACAGGTAAAAGTAAAAACCTCACCCTAAAAAGACTCTATACGGGAAACAGACTGCGCATCTGGAGCTTAGTTAACCTGAAGGTTGAAATCTTTGCTGTGAACACCAACAAATTCTACCCTGTGCCTGGTTTCTCTTTTTGTGTTTTATTTTTAATGACATCTGGTGGCAAACTCGCAGACTTCAACCAATATTCACCTCAACAATTTCACCTTCCAGTGTGAGAATCAACTGTAGCCACTGTTTTTTGTTTTGTTTTGTTTTTTGGAGCCACAAATCAGAGTATAATGAAGAGAACATGTTTTCTGGTTTTCTCCATCACCCCATCACAGTCAATCAACGATTTCTGTGAAAAGTTTCCACCTAAAGTGTAAGTTGGCCACAATGTGTAGCACACATGCACCACACCACAAGCGCCTACACAGTATATAATGTGATAAAGTGATGCGACTGTGATGCTGTGTGGAGATATATAATACTTGAATTGCCTGAACTGCTATTAAAAATGCTTTGAGTAGCAAAATTTTTTTTTCGTTCCTGTCCTTGGTCTTAAAATGTAAAAATGGTTAGCTTGGCTGAGTACTTCCTGCATCTAAGGTTGTCTAAGGTTGGTGTACACAACTACTCAATTATCTACAGTTTGTTTAAGAAATAACAACTGACACCAGGTGTTTTTGGTTCTTGTGATGAGTAGAACAGTGTCTTTTCCGATTGTTATTTCTTCAGTTGTATGACTGATTTGAAAACAGTTGAACAAGCAACGAATCACAAAATGGAATTTATTCTTCAGCTTAACTTAAAGCTTGATCTCCTGCACGAACATCCTAAAGCATTTTTAGAAACGACTCACTCCTCCTTTGATTTTACATTACATTTTTTCATGTGACATTAGAAATGTTAATATAGTCCTGTTAATTCATCCTCTGTATCCATAATTTATTTGTCACAAGCTTCCTTATCTCTTTCAATGCAAATGGTGGGAAGAAATCTGTGTCTACATGTTCTCGTGCTCTTTTCATCCACCGATTAAGCCTCTAAACCAAAGATCTTTGCTCACAACTTGAAAGTAATAAATACCCCTACTCCAATAACTCATGCCACATGAGGCACAGACAAATACAAAAAATAGAAGGCTGAATGAGTCTCACCATGTGTTTAACAGCAGAGAGGATTTGTGCAAAGACCAGCTTGGCTTCCAGGTCGTAGAGCTTCCCTCTAGTGGTGATGCGAGAGAACAGGTCTCCACCGTTGCCGTACTCCATCACCAGATACAGCCTTCTGCTGGACTCGATCGCCTCGTAAAGGCGCACAATGTTGGGGTGACTCAGCTTCTCCATGCAGCTGATCTCCGAGGAGGCAAAAGGCGGAGTCTTCCTATCCTGACGCAGCTTGTCCACAATTTTGACAGCGACTCTCTCTGCAACAGCAGGTGAATGACAAAGGTAAAGATTTGATGTGTTAATAGACATGAGGACTAAAGTTTGATTCACAGGCAATGAGAAGGCTCGTTCTCTCCACTATACTGCAACAAGATGTGAGACAGAAAATTGAAAACTAAGAAGTTTTCGCCACACACGGGGAAGAGGCCTTATCTGTGACTATAAATCAGACTTTTTGCAGGTGCATGATGAAAATGAAATAAATTGCTGCTCTTGTGCATTACTCCCAGAACTAATTTTTACAGCGTTATGCTTCAAGCATTGTGTGTCAGAACTTCATTGGTGTGTTCAGGGTTGGATCTAGCCAATTGGCGCCCTAGGCAAGCTTTCATGTGGTGCTCCTTGCGCAACATTCTAAATCTCACTGCCATTTTACATACATTCACATGCCAAATGAAACAGTTTTTATTTAATATTATATATCTTTAAAACCAGTTAAAATAGTTAACAATGTAATCATTTTGAAACAGAATAACAGAAGTTCACCTCATGTCTGCCAACATCTGCTGACAGCAATGAGGAACACCTGTTCATGTTAACTAGCAGCAGTGGAGCGAAGCAGTTGTAGGGGGATCCAGGGGCATACACCACTGGGAAATTTTCTAAAATGTCTACTAAAAATGCTGCATTTTCCAGTAATTTAAAGCACATTTTACTAAATACTTGGGATTAAAAAAACAACATAAAATCAGTATTTTGTGAAGGTTGAACACTGAAAACTAGACTTTAACCTGAACTTTATCTGAGATTATATTAAACTTCACTTTTCCTCTGTTTTGTACACACTGAGGGCCAGTACTTGAAAGATCCTCTGCAACATACAACCTCATGGTGTAACAAAGCATGCTGAGAAACCCACAGAACAAGTTACTTAGACCAAACCTACATTCTTTTAAATTAACGAAACGTTTTTAAAGAGTGCAAATTACCTTAGACAATGAAAATATCATATAAATAAGTAAATAAAAGATGGAGTTAAAGCCACATGAATAAAGATTTTGTTTTACCTTTTGTCAAGGAGTGGATCCCCAGTTTTACTGTGGAGAAGTTGCCATGGCCGATCTCTCCACGCAGCTCATAAAAGCCAACCCTTCGGCCCAGCATCAGGTCATTTATGATCTTCTCATTGTGGGCCATGTCATAGATAATCCTTTCAAACGGGGTCTGCTTCAGTCTTTCCGCTTCAGTCAACTGGGGGATGGCACAGGCGTCAGCAGTAGTAAGGGCTGACACTGATTTTTCCACATTTGATGAGCTGCCATCAGATTTTTTGCTCGGTTTCTGCTTTGGCCAGAGCCAGGGTTTGTTGCCTTTAAAATGGACAAAAGAAATCAAAATGTCTGTCAGCAGTTTTTGACTCTGATGGAAAATTAGTGCCCAGACAGAAGTAGTAAAGCTGTTCTGGGACAGTGGTAATGAGATTGACCTCAGTGTCATCTCATTCAGTCCTGTGTGAAGATTTTTTTTTGTACGTCATCCTTTAATGAAGTTCTCTTTTTAGTTTATGTTTCAGATAGATAAATGTCTGATGGTTAAAATGATACCTGAAATAATGGCTGCAAACAAATTTACCCTGATTTATTTCATTGTGAAACAAAATGATGCTATTGCAATGCTAATCCATCAGGAGACACTTTCCTTTTATTCGACACATGCAGTGTTAGTTGTATTAGTTATGTTAGTTAGATTTTATCACATTGCCTGTAACACATTTGTTTTCGACTTGAATATTACATCATATTGGCCTTTCCAGTATCCGCTATGGGAACTGATTATTATTTGGACAAAGTCTTGAAATCGTGTACGGTTTTTGATTAAAACTTTGGCTGGAGCATTTGATTTTTGTCAAACAGGACAGTTTCTTGACTTTCATGCCAATTCTGAACAATACTGCCGATTGAGATGTTAAAACAAGACCAGATGGTTCCTTGTCAGAACACCTAATCGTTCAAAAATGGATCATATGCACTGTATGTGAGATGAACGACACCATACAGAACAGATCTGCTGCTGTTACACAACTTTTTTTCCACATATAAGCTGTAGTGATACTGTGGTACTTCCTGGTTACTGTTAGCTAAATTTAGCTGATGGTTGGCAAACTTCCAAGGACAACGAGGATTACTTGCTTCTCTTAGACTAACTATTTGTGGGTCACTTCTAAAGGTAGACAGTTATTTTTGGGTAGGCTAGTTGAATTGGCAGAACAATTTAGTTTCTAAAGTTTCTAAAACAAAGTCTGAATATTAACAGACTGGATCTAACTTAAAAAAAGGCAACCTTAATATTAACACAATAATGCATATTTTTCTTAGCTATTGTAATTGTCCATACATATTAGAAGCTTTGTTTTCTTGAAAGATGAACAACATAAACTTAACTTACTTGTCAGGTCTAATTAACAAATGTGTAAATGCAATTATCATGCCCAATTTATTTTTGAATACCTGCTGTATCTGCAGCAAATTACACACTTTAACTTATTACAAGCCATTAAAGGGTGCTGGCAGGTAATTTATAAATGATGAGAAAATCTATGGTTTCCGAGTATTAAAAAATATGGTTAAAAATCTTAAAAAGTAAATAATCTTACAAGGGACAAACCATGTGCTAGGAAGAAATAGGGCAAATAATATTCAAAACATAACTATATTGCAATATGTGGCCTAAAATGTGCTAAAATGGCACAACAGTGGATGTATTACAAATATAAATGAAAAAAGCTGGTTTTACCTGGGAGTTGTGGGTCCTTCATGACTGCCTCCGAGGCTTTAACACCTGACTGTGACCGAACATGTGAGCTTCAGTGGACTAAACCACTCACCGCAATCCTATTAATACGGTGTATTAGTGGAGTGCTCGTCATGTCCCCTGGCACAAACTGACCTCATAAACATGCTGAAAACATACTTTCAAAGACTAAAGCCCTTATGCACATGAAGATGTTCACCATCTGTTGCTGGAGATGTTAGCTGACAGCTTGAATAAACTTCATGAAAAGTAATCACTCGAATCACAGCTGGTCAGTTTTCAGTGTCAGTGAATTTAATGACACATTTAAATCTGAGGTATTATTAAATTTAATTCTCAGTCTGATCTTTCTGTTGACTTCAAAGAGCAATACTTCTGATTGGAGGTAGAAATATGAACAAGACAAAATCTAAAGTTCAAGGATTTTTGAATTGGGCTTCTGTGGAGCTGTTGTCATAAATTAGAGGGTTTGCGGAGAAGTCTTAATTATCTTAATTTGGAGATTATTGGAAATTTTGGGGCGGCTGTGGTAGAGTGGTTAGGGGAGTCGTCCTGGAACCGGAAGGTCACAATTCGATCCCCGTCCAGTCGACTCAGTCGTTGTGTCCTTGGGCAAGACACTTCACCCGCCTTGCCTACTGATGGTGGTCAGAGGGTCCGGTGGCGCCTGTGTACGGCAGCCTCGCCTCTGTCAGTGTGCCCCAGGGCAGCTGTGGCTACAATTGTAGTTTGCCATCATCAGTGTGTGAATGTGTGTGCATGGGTGAATGTCTGCAGTGTAAAACACTTTGAGCATCCTGGATGCAAATTGTCACAAGAGACCATCGAAAGGCTTGTCAGCTTGAGGCATTTTCCAAAGCAGATTTATTTTGCCATTTTAAACAACAGCAACAATCTAAAAGACGTCATAGCAGCCCATGTGAATGCTATTTTATTAACCTTTCCTCTGCTGTCTCTTTTGCATTAAATGGTTATTTACATAGAGCTCTATGGTCATTATTACTGCATACTGTTCCTTGATGCTTTAACAGTTGTGTTCTGTGTTGAAAAACACATTCTGTGAAGTGTAACAATGCAGATGGAAAAGCAGTGTAAAAATTAATTATAATAATACAAAACAGTGTTCATTTGAACTGTGCTGATTTTTATTTATTTTTTCACATCACATTTTTTCCCTTTTTTAAGACTGTTACTTTGCCCAGTTACACTTAAAAAGTTAGTTTAGATTATTTGTGGTGTTGGTTATCTAATACTTTACCTGTTGTAGATAGTGCTTTGAACATCTGAGTAGAAAAGCTAAAAAGCAAAAAAACAAAGCCACAATCAAACTGTTAGTTCCTTGGTAAAATAAAATAAAGTACATGTGCAGATTTACTAGTTTTGGCAGAAGAACGCCTGTAGATGGCACCAATCAGGTTAAAAAGACAGAGTTCAGTTTCCTCAAGAGGTGATGGCAGCACAAAGCAAAACAAGCCAAAAATGGCTGTAAACTTGCTCCATATTTGACAATATATACAGTTTACGTTTTATCATTTTAATTGGTTTTATTATCTTCAACTCACTTTCCTGTCTTCCTGTTAAATAAACATGAGGTGATTTTACTTATTTCTATCAAAGTTGAAATTATTTATTTATTTATTTATTTATTTATTTATTTATTTATTTATTTATTTATTTATTTAACCTTTGAAGCGTTTACAAACACAAATTTCCATCAAACACCAGCTGCGGAATGCAGGATCCTTGTAGGTGGCAACGTGCTTTGACTGACATTCATTTAAGCCAATGGGAACGCAAGACTGTGCAACTGTCCAATAAATGATGAGCGTATGTTGGCGGGGTCTGACCTGATTGACCAATGAGCACAGGCCGCTCTACCATAAAGCCGGAAGCACATGATAGCGACTCTGCTAATGTCATCATGTGTGACAAATAACCTGTAAGAGATATAAGTGTTATTTTTATATAAAGATTATACTACGTTTCATTAATAATCATAAAATGTCAGTAGCTGTAGCAACGCCGGTCCTCTCCATGGAGCCGGACTCTGAGCGGTGTGGGAGCGAGGAAGAGAACCGCAGTGTCGAAGCGGAGGACCGGAGTCAGCAGCCGACAGGCCCCGCAGCAGCCGCGTCCCACAGCCGGCTGTCCAAACTCCCGCTGACCCGAATCAAAGCTCTGATGAAGACCGACCCAGACGTGTCCCTCGCCAGCCAGGAGTCTGTGTTTATAATCGCTAAAGCCACGGTAAAATGAGCAGGCATACCTTTATCTCTGTTTCAGTGATGACTTCTATCACAACTCTATAATGAATATTTACTTATAATAATCGTGTATTACATTTTTCCCAAATTTAGAACAAACCCCACTGCACTACACATAAATACTTTAAAACGTCATTTTATTTTATTTTATTTTATTTTATAAAAGTCACTTAATGTTTTTTTAAATAAAACATTCATCAGCATTTGCTATTTTATTTATTAGTTTTTATTTTTCACCTAGGAGTTGTTTGTTGAGATGATTGCCAAAGATGCTCTGGTTTATGCCCAGCAAGGAAAGAGGAAAACCTTGCAAAGAAAAGACCTGGGTAAGTGCTGGAAAGCTAATATTGCATTATTTTATCATGATTTTATTAAGGCATCTACAGTAGATGCTTGGTGTTTTTTCAAATGCTGAATCAATGCTTCTCAAAGGGTTCATTTCATTGAAAGTGATTTGATTTTCAATATTATTATAAAATGTGCCTAGATTTAGTATAAACACACAGATTCAAATTTTGTTTAATTGTTAAGTTAAAAAAGCTGGTGTGGCTGTGTGTAATATATCTCTGCTGCGATATGTGCAAATTTTTAAAAGAAATGCATAGCGTTTCTTTCTTTATTTTTTTATAACACACAAAATACATTATAATGAACAGTATGGATGATGAGCCTTATATTGCAGATTTGGTCAAATGGTTCAACATATTGGTTTGATAGTAATAAAAACTTCTATGGCTAGGTACTTGAGGAGGATGCCACTTGTTTAGAAGACACAACATCTCAAGTCACTCAGATTTGTACGATATTTAAAAGTATATATTTAATAAAAACGTTTTTTTGAACAGTATAATGCAAAAATGAAATACACATAGCAAAATTGTTAAAAATGTAATTTCGTATAATTATAATTAAACGTCCGTCAGTTTTCTGCCACTTATCCGGCGTCAGGTCGTGGGGGCAGCAGCCTAAGCAGAGAGACCCAGACTTCCCTCTCCCCAGCCACCTAGGCCAGCTCGTCCGGGGGAATCCCAGGGTGTTCCCAGGCCAGCCGAGGAACACAGTCCCTCCAGTGTGTCCTGGATTTTTATAATCTAATTTTAAAAAGTTTGGGGAAATAAAAGGGGAAAAATTCTGTTGAAAATAAACAAAATAAACAGCAGATAAATTTGTCTCAGAACTAATTAAGTTCTTTAACAGTTCAGTAACATGTTTACATATAAAGACACTCTATTTCAGATGTAAAGATGGGGGGAAATATTTAATCGTCTATGGCAGTGGTCCCCAAACTACCCGGCCCTCCTCCACATTTGGCCCCCTGAACAATACCAGAGAGGCATTATGATTTTTTCTTTAGTCTGCCCTGTGAATCCTTGACTATTTCATCAGATTTTATCGGAGAAAAACTCATCAGCAGACCTCACACTACAGGCCACATGATGGTGCTGAAAAACGGCGCATCTGACTAGGGCTGCCACAAACGATTATTTTAATAATCGATTAATCACCGATTATTTATTCGATTAGTCGACTAAACAGATCATATGTTAAGTGAATATAAAACATAAAGCTTATCACGTCAGAATGCAGCTGCTATTATATAACCATGGTTAGATTTTATCTATATGTTAACTAAAAATAATTGCTGTGGAAGGCAAGTTCTGCTCTGCAGATATTACACAGGTTTCTCTTTCATTTTCTTAAAATGATCCCACACTTTTGAGCTCTGTTGTCAGGTAGCCATGATCCCAGAGTCTGTCTGTATAATGTCTTGTGACGTCCACGGCCTACCCCAGTTACAACTACTGTGCATGTGTGTCAAGGACAGAAAGGCAGATGTGGCAGTGGAAGGTGTCAAAGCAGTTTGGAGAGAAAAACAAAGTAAAGAACAACAACAAAAAAAGAAAACGATTAATCGATTATTAAATTAGTCATAGATTATTTTAATAATCAATTAGTCGTCGATTAATCGATTAATCGTGGCAGCCCTACATCTGACCCACACCAGGCCCAATTCGCAATGTGACGCACACACACTGTCCCGCTTTTGACTGTTACCTTACAAAAAGTAAAACAAAAAAACAAACTAAAAAAATCATCTACAAACATCATTTAGTGGCTGCAGTTTGCAACATTAGATAATGCCTCCTTATTTCTGTCTGCCTCCTTTGAGGAGGACGAGAGAAGAGGGAAAGGCATGAAGGCAGTGATGCAGTCAGCTGTTAATCACACTGCGCCGCTGCCACTGTGTAAAAATATTATTAAATAAAAACATAAGAAGAACATGGATTTGATTTATGAATAAAAAGTCTAATAATTAAAAAACTCTAAGGAAAATCTCCAGTTACACAGTGAGTCTACATCTGCAGGCGCCAGTGGTTCTGAAGACTAAACCCACGCTCTGCTGCAACACTGTTGGAATAACGAGCACCACTTCAGCCAAAGTTTTAAAATCAGAAAACATTTCTCCAGTTGAAGTGATCAGATGTCAGCAAGATTTTATTTCCAAATCCCACAAGCTGACGCTTTAGCAGGAGGAAATCCAGCAGCTCGCTCTTGCTGTGCCACTGGTTCAGCTGCTCCTCACAGACGCTCCAAAGCCTCCTGTCCTTATCTCTTCAATGTGCTGTCAGCTGCTGGAGATGCATTCAGTATGTTGTCTAGATCTGAGATGATGATCAGATGGGAATATTTTATTTATTTTAGATTAAATAAGACACCTCTGTGATGTAGACCTACTCCGTGCGTAAAGCTGAAAGTGTCTGAGTGTGATGCCACAGAATTGTCTTGTGAAGCCTCGTTGGGTTTTTTTTCCTCCGCCTCACCTGGCTTGTTTATTTAAGTCTTCCAGCCTTAAGAGGTCAGGGGCGTTAATTGCAATCTGTCAAAATGACGGACAGCCTTCCGATTTTTCCGTCATTGTGTAAGAAAATTGGTCAAATACGGAAAATAAAGTGGCATCTTCCTCTTCTAGGGTTATTTGGTTATTTATTTCATAAATACTGTTTATTTCATTAACAGTATTTATTTCCTGGTTTCTGAAAAACAATAAAAGTTTATGTTAAGGCTCCCGTCACATTTTTTCTGTTACAAACTG